AAAATATTCTGGAGCTACAGAAAATATTCCATCCAAATCATTTAGTATTGTCACCATAGAGAATTCAACAGACGTATCCACATCAGCCATCTCGCTTGCTCATGAATAGACTTCAGCATTGTTCCTCAGTCATCATATAAAATCTGCTTCACTTTAGATGAAAGCCAGTGATTGGTCTGACTTGTTCAGCAGTTGGCAGAAGTGAAGTGGAAACCTTAGATAAGAGTTGGAGGGGTGCTGGTCTTCTATCAGCTGTGGGTGCAGGCTCAGACTGAGACACTGCACCAAGATTGATGGAGAGACATCCACCACCCACTGAGAAGCAGGGATGAAGAGAGAGATGCAGAGAAAGTTTAGCAACAACAAAAAAACGAGAATACATTTTCTGTTTTGACTGCTTCTATCATCCTGTATCATTTCCAAGCATTTGCCCTTGTGACCCATGTTTTTCAGCTCGTTGGAGTTTAACTGCTTCAAAATGGTAAAAAACCTCCAGTAGTTTTTCTATCATCAAACTGCCTGAAAGAAGAGAAGCGGAGCCTCCACCGTTGCTGTCAGTGGGTGCTGCTGAGACGCACACCGTCAATAAAAGAGGCTGAGGGAGCTGGCGTGATGAAAAGCATCTACCACCCACCAACACTCAGCAGGATCGCAGCTATTTGAGTGCTCCAATCAGCAGCTATTTAAAGACGGCAGCGTGGAGAACGTGGGTTCGAGACACTCTGCATGGGAGGTTGTCAGAATAAGACAGTGGAGGCCTGTCGAGGTAAATAAGAAAAGGAGGCGCAACTCTTAACCATGGATTCAAATAGAAATGAACTACACTGTTAAGGAAATCATTCACTGTACAGGAGGCCACTGATGTTGGGATGGAGGGAAAGATGGTGTTTGAAGCTGTGTTCATTCAAGTGAAACACATGGCTGATCATGAGCATTAATTAAGACTAATCTCCTTCTCGTGAAGTTAAAGTGCATGTGACCATGGCAACCCCCTCTCATCAGGGAGTGGAGGTGAGAGCCCCCCCCCCTCCTCCTGGCAGTCATTGTGATTTGTGGAGCAATTACCACGCTAGCGAGCACTTCAGCTAGAAGCGTCGGTGTCCTGTCTAACGCTTGACATCCTCACAGGGTCTGCAAACGCTCAAGGACCTGGAGTCTGGAGTGGGAATTAAAGCGCATGTTATGTTGTCTGCAGGAGCTGGAGATCAAAAGCTGAGAAGCAGAATGAAAGAATGCTGAGGTTGAAAAATCCCGCCGTGGTTCAGTGAACGGTGCCCAGGATGGGTGCATCTGAACAAACAGATCTGGGGGCAGGACACCGAGTCCCAGACCCAAAACTGATCTGTGATTTCAGATGATCCTGCAAGAGGACAGATCAGGTGTTCACCTGAGTCACTGGGCTTTATCCCCCGCAGCCTCACCACAGTTTCACTGGTACACTGGATGCTTAAGTGTTGCAGAACATCTTGCTTTTCATTTTGCCGCCCATGTTATCAGGTTAGAGCGGCCACACTGCCTATGTGACACACGTCTCGGGTGCTACTCCTGCGTTTGTGTCGGACTGCTCTTCCAGAGCCAGAGTCTAGTCTGTGTTCTACACCTTCCCTGTGCGGTTCACAGCAAAATAAACACACATAAATATTTGAAACACTTCCTATACCCACTCGTTGTGTATTAGAACCATCATCAACATGTCCACTCACTCGCTGTGCATTTTCTGGACAATTTATTGCTTTACTCTTACATGGGATCACCCAGACTATGACCCTGACAGGAAAAGTTTGGGAAAATGTCCAGAGCAACTGACTTCTTCTCAAATACAGCACCTCTGGAAAATGTTCAACTTGCAGCACGTCTGAAATCAGCTTAAAAGTCAGAAGCCAAAAAATTGCAGCAAACAAAGAAGAATGCAGTAAAAGTGAAGCACAAGGGTAAACAGGATGTTAACAGACAAACTGACAGAGGAGACTGAGGAGCAGAGACCTTATAAAGGTGCGGAGATAAATTAACTCAGGTGCAGACAATCATAGGAGCGGGAAAATGAGACAAAGACAGGAAGTAAAGAAAGACACACACACAAGGAAAGAAATTTCAAAGTTAAACAGGAAATAATGACGTCAAAGTGCAAATAACTGAGATATATGTCCAAACACCAAACACAACGGAAATAAAAAGGCCAAACATAAACAAATATACAAAACCAAAGTCCAAACACAAGAACATTACAAATAAATCAATACAAATCCAAAGACAAATCCAAAGTCTTTCAAAATGATCCACAACAGTCTTTCCAGAAGTTCATGACAGAAGCAGAATCATCATGGAAGGATGTGATATGAGTTGGGGGGAAGTCATCACATTGTGGTGTGGATCTGAATCAAGGGGATCCAGGAATTTACTTTGACTTTTATTTTCTTCACATTGTCACTGATTTCTCAGAAAATAATGAATTGATCTTGATGAGAGAGAATCAGGCATCATGCAGAATGAAAATCTGGATTTGGGTAAATGTGGTTTCATAAGGCGACGGTGGAGCCTTGGCGGAGGTATATGCTCTCTGAATGTCATTCCAATTTGGAAACAAGAGCACATATGACGTTTTACTGTTGTCAGTCCGTAAAACATCCTGGTGTTGATGACTTCTCAGCTTCAGGACTTTGTTTTTAATATTATGTCCCTGTCTTCTCTTCATTCCAAACCACAATATGCATAAATAAACCGATTAGTCCAATGCACTGCTTTGAGCTCCAGCATTTTGCTTGTTGTGTACTTGGAAGCACTGGATTTGTTCCATTTCACTCTGTGTAATATGAGTGCACAGGTCACTGGGGAATGTTGTGTCTGTATTAGTATGCATTATGTTCAGCAGCTGCCCTGAGCTGACCCACAGGAGGAGTTATGTGTTGTCGAAAGAGGCATCATGGGTCTTTAACAGCCTCGAGCTAAGCAGCTTTCCCTCCATGTACAAAAAGTGACATCAGCCCCCCCCCCCCCTCCCGTTACGAAGAGCAGAGAGTGAACTGTCCGGAGCAGGACCTGCTAATCTGATGGATCACTAACCCAGATGTCCCAGTGTGGACTGAGACTGCCATCTTGTGGTTAAAGTGTGGATCTAAACCACGATGACACCAAATCAACACACAGGAGGTTTAATCCCTCAACAGACGAAGAAGAAGACAGGAAGACAACATTCATCTGAGGTTCCAGCAAAGACACGAGGCACAGAGATATGGAGACGAAGACTATTAAGAGACAGATATGTGGAGGAAAAGGCAATAAAGAGACAGATATAGAGACAAACAGAGAAGGGGCACAGAGACAGTGACATGTAGACAAAAAGACTGAGACAGAGAGACACAAATATGGGGACAAAAAGACACAGAGGGTAAATGGACTGTAGCAATTTATAAAGCACTTTCTAGTCTGCTGTACACGTCACATAATGCACTATGCTTTACACAGATCATATTATTTCATGTAGTAAAATAATTGGAAAAAAAAAATACACTCGGTGCAAACACAATACGTCAGTTTAAATGGTACTGCCGCAATGAATTGTGGGACGGTATTATCCCGTTCCCAGTGTATGGACTTTCTGGACCTGAATGTGGATGACCGCGGATTTCTGTCTTGACTCGCATTTCATCTTTGATTCACACATTTTCAAAACGTTCTCGCACAAAAATAGTTTGCCAAAAGAGTGACGTCAGACCCGCGACCAGGAGTGATCTGATAAAACATTAAATACGCAACGTTCGCCTTAAACGACACACAGATCGAAAGCCAACGTACTTCCTGTTTTGCGTGAACTTCCCAGAATGCTTTGCTGCTGTACTCGAGTCAGAAACAGTGGTAAATCAGGATATTGAACATCGATTCTGACAGAACTGCATACTCCAAATGGTACTAGATGTGATGAAGTACAACTGTATTAGCTTTACCATCTCCGTCCCTGAACAACACTCTGACTTATAGACTATTGTCTGAGGCGTGCTATAAATACCAGAGAACAATCTGCATTATGTCGGTTGGTCCGATGGCGGTGAGATTTCAATTGATTGCTACAGTGAGTTACAGAACCTCTACGTTTCTTCTCTCCCCTCCCTCACCGCCGGCCATGACTAGCCTTTTACCCCCCTAGCTCCATGTTTTCAACCTGGAGCAGAGGAGCGTCCACTCAGATAATAAAGCTCCATTCCCTTTGTATGATCTTAGTGTTTCTTGTCATTAAACTTTCATCTTTAATGTGAAATATATGGAGGCGTGTAACATTCGCTTGACAAAAACAAGTCTGCTCTGTTTTCTCGAGTTAGATCATTTCTTATAACATTTTCTGTTTTCATGAGAACAAATGCTCTGTTTTTCAGAACTAACAAAATATATTTGTTTTCATAAGAAAAAAAAATCTGTTCTATTTTTCTGTTTTCATGAGAACAAATGCTCTGTTTTTCAGAACTAACAAAATATATTTGTTTTCATAAGAAAAAAAAATCTGTTCTATTTTTCTGTTTTCATGAGAAAAAAATCGTTATCTCGAAGTCATATATATATACAGTATTAGCATTTGAGAACGATCTAGTTTGCATAAAGTGGTTTAGCCAAACTTAAAAGACAGTAACCCAGCCAGCCAAGTGTAAAGTCCTCCTGATGAAGGCAAGTTTGTTTAATTTTGAGTGTTAAATGCTGAGTTGTGTTGCACAATAGAATTGCTACACAAATCTATATGGGATATAGAATAGTTATTGATACAGCATCTTATCAAAAGATGAATTAAAAACTAAGAATGCACCAACAACACTATATAAGTAGGTGCATCAGGACAGGAATGAGTATTAGAAGAAACAAATTTTCCTTTTTCAAAAATGTTACATAGCCTGGTGTCAGGATGCAAGGCCATTGTCAGGGTCAAAGGTCAAACTAGTTCCATAAATTAAATTAAAGTCCACCAATTACCACAGATAGATAGATAGATAGATGGATAGATGGATAGATAGATAGATAGATAGATAGATAGATAGATAGATAGATAGATAGATAGATAGATAGATAGTTGTGCTAATGTTTAAATTGTACCACTCAGAAATATCACCCTTTGGCTCGTCTCTCAGTGTCATTGTCAGGAGCTTTTTTTGTCACTCCTGATGAGCCCCCTTTGCAGGACAAGGACTTTGGTTGCAGTGGTGTTCACCTGATCTTTTTCAATTGGATTGTTCATGTTGAGATTACATGTGACCATGGCTGACGCTGCTGCAGGCTGAGGTGGTTGGTCCTGCAGAGCTTTTGTGAAGATAACTTTTCTCATGATCGGACGTGTCATGGTCCAAATTACTCCCTTTGTGCTCTTTACTGTCACAGAAAGGCATCTTCCACTTGATGGAGGAGGTGCTTCTGGCAGGATGTTCACTGACATGTTTGGGGCGGGTCACAGCAGTAGTGGTGTTCAAATTCCCATCAACGACATTTCTGTTCCACCCTGAACTGTCTGACTCTGTGGTCTGAGCAGTTCCTGCGCTCTCCGGCTCCTGTGCTGATCTCTGCGCAGCTGCTCCACTGACAGAAGGTGCCGTATCGTTTTGTTTCATCACAGAATAGCAGGCCCTAACACTGCAAGACAATGAATCCTTTTATCACCCTAGTTTATCATGCATGTGAGATAGGTTAAGATATATTGTCAATGTACTATAGTATAAATGTATCCTGTGCTCCCAGCAACAAAGGTACAAGTAGAGACCTCATGGAGAAAAATAACTTAAATGTTAAAAATGTTGAATCACTTACTAGCCGCTTTGAGAGTTGCGGTTGACCAAGTGGGTCATGCAGGTGAACTGATGCTCCAGCACCTGATTGGGTGTCATCCGCTTGGTGGCATCAAGGTGAAGCATTCCCTTTAGCATGTCCACAAACACCCGCACATCAGTTTTCTCCGCAGTCAGATCTGGTCCTTTACTGTCAAAGGTCCGGATCTAAAACATAAAAGGTCTGAGGCATCTTCACCATCTCTACTGGAGGTTTGTCATTGTATTGAATACATGACTCAGAAATATGCTCATGTTGAGTAGTCAAAGAGAAGACCTACGTGTAGGAGGCCATCCAGTGAGCTAAGCTTTATACTCCTTGTCTCTTTTGGCTGAATCCCCGTCTGCTTATGGATCTGTTCAGAGGACTGTGATAGACTGGTTACATGTTAGTAATGAGATACATTTGAATTGTTTACTGCATTCTGATACCTTTAGTTTCCAGCAAGTGGTGGTAGATGTGTTGAAACTCTGGAAAAATGTGCTTGTTTTGGACCCATGGTGGAGAACTTTGCGCGGTAGCTGACCCTGAGTGTGTGTTATGAACTTGATCTGAAGATACAACACACTGGGATTAATTTCTATAATATGAACACTTTACATCCTGAATTCTTCAGAGTAAGCCTCAAGTACTAGATTACGTACCATATCATATTCACTTCTACCAGGGTAGAGCCATTTGCCGAGGTACATGCTGGCAGCCATGCAGCCCAGTGACCACATATCTATGGCCTCTGTGAAGGGATACCCCAAAATGATCTCTGGAGATCTTATGGAGGACGAACATCATTAACCATGAAAATAATTTCAAACATTTGGACATTCTTATTCCTCAGTTAAAACTCCTCTAAAAGACATTGGTGATTTGTGTAAACACTTGAGGAGGAGATGTCTATATTCCAAGAGATCAAATATGGTTCCAGTTACTCACCGGAAAAAACGGCTCTGAATATATGAGCCAGTCCTGGCAGCTAAAATGTTACAGGCCAGGCCAAAGTCGATAATTTTGACTCTGTAGGGCTCCTGTAGATGGTTGACCAGCATCACATTTTCCGGCTTGAGGTCTGCATGTATTATCCCAGCAGCCTTCAAGTGATTAAGAGCAGTGGCAAGCTGAAAAGATATTGAAGACATTCATTTAGACAGTTGTTTCTTTCAGCCGTGCTGAAAGAAAAGCAGTGGGAGATGCTGTACCTGCTGGACAATTGGTCTGATCTCCATCAGAAGGAGAGGTTGGCCATTTTTTTCCGATATGAAATCATACAGACTCTTGTCCAGGTACTCAAACACCAGGCAGACATACTCCTTGTCTATGAAATCATGGTACCATCGGACAAGGTTGCACTTGTCTGGGTCCAGAGATTTCAGGATCTTCAGAGCATCCAGCTAGATATAGATGGTAGATCAGACAGATTTTACATTATTGTTTTATATTGAGACATAAATCTAGACAGGCCAATATCTTCATGTATTTTTCCAAATATTTATTGTTTCCCAAAAAATATTGATAGAAACTACAAAGATAAATCACAAAAATGGTACTTGATTATTTTTAAACCAGTATCAGCATAAGTGTACCTCTCTGTTTTTGTGATTGCTTTGCTGCTTTATCATCTTTATGGCTACAGTCTTCTTATCCTCCATTCTCAAGCATTTGGCAACTATGCCATAGGCGCCTTGCCCAACAAAGGATTGCACTTCGTAGGTGGAAGATCCAGAAGTGAGCCATCTCGTGACCAGCTGCCCCTTCTTGTCAGGTTCAGTTGAAAAAACCTGTGTAGCCATTGTAAGACAGGAATTGGAGCAAAAAGCGGAGAGGAATTTTCTTGGAATTGTCTGTTTTCTCCTCAAAACATTTCCAGTAGAAAATGTCACTACTCCTACAAAACTACTAAAACCCTGGTCATCAACAATAGTTAGAATTCTACAATTATAGAGTTAGTTTTGAGGATTTAATACATTATAGGATTATATTTCAATATTTCTTTATTGGCTTTGAAGATTTCAGAATTCTAGGAGTGGCTTTGAAGATTTGATAAGTAAAGGTTCTGAAGAAACCTAAAACCTTCTTTGTTCTTTCTCTATTGGCAGTAATGGACCTTTACGTTGGTTGCCAACCGCCAATAAACCTAACTAAGAAGAATAATTTGAACAAGACTTTAACGAGCAATGACATTTGTTTTGAATAAATATTAAAGGTCAAAACAGAAACAAAATCTCTGATAAGCACCGAACCTGTATCTTAACAGCCTTAATTGGTTATCACCTGAAATGTTTCTTTATTATGGCTTTTTTATTACCAATTGAATTACAGAAACTCTAAATTAACATGTGACATCTTACAATGACATCCCAGGCAAAACTTTTTGTCTTGTCTGTTTACATTAACAACTACTGATGACGTGTCAGGTTTTCGCAACAGCTACTGATGATGTAACGGCTTCTTAAAGGGCTGTCCAACACATAGGGGAAGATTTTAACCACTACCCCTTGAGACTCCGTTTCAAGGGGCAAGATAACCCTCGTAAAAAAGGGGTAGGGCCAAGGGGTGAAATGGGATTGGGCCTTACAGACAAGAATATGAGCCGTATGAGTTCAACACTTAAATCATTTGACAAAAGAGACCAAAGCAAGAGGAAGCGTTATGAAGTTTATTAGAAATAACTGTGAGGTTGGAATCATACAAAAGCAGCACTGAATGTGTCTGTTCAGGAAATCTCCAGATATATGCCCCCACCCCACCCACACCCTCATCTATCCCCTGTCCTTCCCAGATGACAACAGTTCCACAGAACCTGAGTTGATGACTTGTTGTTTATGAACCAATAAAACAAATAATGAACTAATATGTGTGTGTGTGTGTGTGTGTGTGTGTGTGTGTGTGTGTGTGTGTGTGTGTGTGTGTGTGTGTGTGT